TTTTCCACCTTTTCGACCACAACGACCACGACCGCAGTCTCCACCCTGTCCACATCCACCTCTTTCTCGGCCAAAGACAGGTCTTGTTCAGATACCAAACTTCACCACAGTTGTAACACTTGTGAGTCTTCTATCATACCTGAGCTCAAGGCAGCCAAAGCTGATGAAGCACCCGAAAGTCTACTTGGCTCAGAGTGTAGCTTCATGCGACTCTCCTCCTATATTATCGCAACAATGGTCTCATCGAGTGAAGGGATGGTCACCTGAGCTAGAAGGAAAGATCTCCTTTGATCAAAGGTCGAGTTCATATAGGCCAAAGACTGTTGCATGGTCCTCATCTGTGTAAGGATCTCCCGATTCTTGCACTCCAGATCGTCACAACTCGACATTAGTGAGAAGTGAAAAAGATATACCCACAACAACTCTAGCTCCATGGAGTATTTCTGAATTGATTTATCAACTTGAACCACTAGCTCTCTCACGCTGAATCTGGAACGCCCTCATGTGGTTCTCAACTCCAACATAGTTCTTCAATTTTGCCCAGATGTCGCTCACATTTTGAATGTTATCTACTGATGATGTAATTGATGGACCCATCGAGTTGAGTAGTCAGGTGTGAATCAAAACATGTGTGATCCTCCACTTATCCCTCTCAGCACTGACAGTTTTTGGCTTAACCCCGTCAGTTGTCCCTCTAATGTCTTCCCTATTAGAGCAACCTCGATCTGACGTGACGAACTCAGATATCTGGTTGGTCATCAAGTTTCAAATCCACAAAAGGGTGATCTAGCTTCACTCTGTTGGAGCATATGCTGAGGTAGCGGCTCCCGTCGAGATGTCAGCTCCCTGTATGAGCCCCACCAAGACATTAAAAAATTCATGATCTATCCTCCCTAGAAGTTCCAAACCTTTACCTCCTCACCATCTTCGTCTCCTGACATCCGCAATTTAACTAATATTCCCAGTCTTTCCTCTCACGCACGTAGAACCAATGTTCTCTACTCCATTCTAGTTTCACTTGCGCTTCCCCCTTGCCCAACATCGAGATGCGCGAGCCACTCTGTCACGATCCAAGTA